TAGCTCTTAACAGCCGGAAGAAGATTCAGGAAGCATGTGAGTTGGTCTGTGCAGGGAAACGACTTGCTCTATCTTGGTGCCCTGGGGACCTTGCATATAATTACATAGGCCACACGGGCCAGGCTTGAACTGTAGCTGAATCTAAATCTTGGCAGAACACCCTGTAAATCCTCCCGGAACATGAGGGCCTTAGGGGGCTTGCAAGGAGCTCAAGACCACTCCCACTGGCCTCCTGTCGCCCTGGCAGCCCGCGGTGACACGGTTCTGGTGATGCATGAGACTGCCTGCCTTATTCTCCCCCCACGGAGGGCCCAGTTGCAGCCTGTCACCTAGCTGCACCAGCTCCTCGGCAACAGGGTGTCCCACCATTCGGGTGCAGGCCCCTGGCCCCTTTTGTCTCAGCGTTGCCCGGAGCACAGGCTGTGGGGAGCTGGCATCTTTGCCCATGCAAATAACGTCCCATTTGGGGCCTGTCGTTCCTTTCCCAGCCGAATCTGTCAGTCAGGATTTACCTTGCGCTTGACTCTTTGGCACAGGAGGCAGGAAGCGCAGACAGCAGGAATCCACGGAGGAGGCCCCTGCGGAGAAGGGGGAAGGAGCACGTAAAACATAAAGCCTTCTTAAAGGGGAATGGCTCGCGGGGCCCTGCTCCACGCGGCACAGCAAGGTGCGGGGCAAACAGAGGCCACTCAGGGTGTGCTCCGGGGTGACGCAAGCTGAAAGGCTCCCGCCCAGATTATTAGAAATTTAAAAGGTTGCTAGAAATAAGGACTGGATAGCGGTTTGTTTGTTTTTTCCCCCTTCCTGTTTTTTACATCTGGAGGCTACACAAATATTGAATGCTGACCCCTAACTATTGGGGTCACTCTACTGGTAGGGCGAACAGTTGAAAGCTCAACAGCAGCATAGTCATTTAATATCCTGAGGTTCAAAGATTTTGGGTTCCAATCATGTCTCCTTAACTTACAAGCTACGCCAGCCATCTCCGGTCAATGATTTTACCTCTTTAGGCTCTGAGTTTGCTCAGTCTGCAAAATGGGGATTTTCCTTCATCTGAGTTGTTGTAAGGATTGTGTAAAAACAATTTACTCACTGTATACTTCCTATGTGCCCAGCATGTGCTAAATGTTTTATGTGTATTTTCTCATTTAATTCTTAAAACAACCCCCAGAGGTGGGACTGTGATTTTCACAGATGAGTAAGTTGAGGCACTGAGAGGCTGCGGAACTGGCCCACGGTTAAAGCTGGTAAATGCTGGAGCCAGAACTCAAACGCAGGCGGACTCACTGCGGAGCCGGCTCACTGGTCAGTGGGCTACAGCAATTAGGCCAACTGTTAGGTAAAGTGCCTAATAACCACCGGAGCTATTGCGATTTTTTAACTTTTCCTTGCTTGAACTTGAGAGAACATTGACAAATGCAAACAAGTCTATAAAGAAGCAGGATAAAAGATGTTTTCTTTCTTTTATGTATTTAAAAAAGATCCCCCCCCCAATCTTATGTTTGTGATCAGAAAAGAAAGTATTGGGGGGAAGTTAATCATAATCTCACCAGGAAGAGGCCTTTGGGGGCGGCCCAAAGGAGATCTTTCCAGAAACTCTGGTTTCCTGTTGGCAGAAAAACACGGAAACCAGTCCAGACACTGACGCCTCCAGGGCGCACACCGGGCCCGACACCCGGCGTCCGTGGGCCCCGTGCGTGGATGCCCAGTGTAGGAGCAGACGAGGGGCACCGCCTAGGCGCTTTGGGGGTTACCTGGACTCTGGATTCGGGGTTCCGCTCAGTCGCTGGGGGCGGGGGCTGCGCTCCGGCGGGAGGCGAGCGCGCGCTCTGCGGGGCCTTGTGAGGTCACGGCGCGCGTTTCCCTGGCAACCTACGCCCGCGTTAGGCCGCGCGCGCGCCCCACTCCCCGGGAGGTGGCAGACGGGGACCGAGGCGTGAGAAAGGGCGGCTTCGTGTCCTCGAGGCCTTCGCGGAGTCGCGCGGACCGTCAGTTCCCGAGACAGAGACTTGGGCCGCGACCTGAGCCCCGCGCGCTCCCGGAGAGGCCCGGGCGGCGCATGGAGGACACGTGGCCCTGCGGCCCCCTGCGCGGGGGTCGGCTCGAGCTGCTGGAG